GTTATTGAGTCTCCCTAATTTAAGTTTTGCACATATCCATGTTTTGCATTAAATCATGTTTTGGATGCATTAAATCATATTTTGGATGCCTTAAATCAACCCCTTAGATAAAATTCATTCAAATTGATGCAAGTCAAATTAGAAAATTATTTGGGTCAAGAAACACATGAACTTATGATTCTTATCATACTAGCTTTATATTCAATCAAACACTTCATTTTTCTTAAAACAACAACTTCTTAAAGTGTGAAAGTCAGGGTTTTCAACTGCTAGTGTGATTCAAATCGCAAGCTTCTCTGATTTGAATAAGAAGTAAGCTTGATTCAAATCAAGCTAAAGGTTGTTTTGAATCAAAAGTTCATTTCAAGTCATGGATTTTGGTTTTGTCAGCATGATTCGATTCACAAAATTCTTTGAATTGAATCATTAACTTGAATCACTAATTCGAATAAAATGAGAAAATTATGAACTCTAAGTTCTTAATTCAAATAATTTCTTCTTTTGACTTGAATCCTATCCACTGCACTAGACTCGAATCAAATGGGTATTTTACTAATTTTTAGTGCTCTATATCGAACACGTATATAAATCATTTTGTGTCATTTAAAAAAAAAGGTCTGATAATATCATAACTTTGAGAGTATTTCAAAATAGAGTTTTTAGATTTCAAAGAACACCAAATCACAATATTCGATTGAATCTGCATTCATCTTCAACCTCTAGCAATATACCATGAGTTGGTTGCTTCTCAGAGAGTGAGATCTATCTTAGAGGAGAATCTTTCACTATTTATGTTTGTGAAGTTCTTGAGCTGTAGGCCAAGATTCGCATGGTATGATGTTGCTGGGAATTAACTGTCAAACAGTAGCAAAAGTAAATGATTTCTTCTCCACCGACGACTTCGGTAGAACTGAGTAAAGGTTGTTCTAAAACAAAATTGGTAGTTTTTTCTCCTTCAGATAGGTGAAGATCCTTGACAAGGTACCAGTAGGATTGAGTAAAGATCACTGCAGAATAGATGCTTGGAGCAGATCTTAGATCTAAGTAAGAGGATGATCAAGAGTGATTGAAGGTCTTGGGATTTAGCTGCATGGGTTAATAGAAGAAAGAAAGATTCAATTTGAAGTTTTTAATTTTGTTTTTAATTTCAGCATTTGGTTCCTTGATTTTATAAAACACGTGTCATAAACATTGTCAAAATAATGGACGACTGCAAATTTTCAATGGTTCTCCATTTGAGAATGAATTAGGCACAACACGAGAACAAACACGTTAAACCAGTATAAATCATGGTGCAATCTTCTCTTTCTTTATTTCCTTTAAATTTTCTATATAGATTCCATGTTTTGGGTATTTACCATTTTCTTAAAAATCTCATGTTCATAGGTTTATTTTGTTCATAGTGATTTATCGTGTAAAGTTTATGCATGGTAGTGATTAATCCATCTAAATTATCTTTCTTACGTTTAAGCTGTTTGTAACTATAATGTTAAATTGATTCAATTAATCAATAAATATATGTTTAAACACCTCGTTTAAATTGTTTTTAAGTTGATTAATACATTGATTAGCTAGATTGTACATAATTCCATATTTAATTATATTTTCTATACATAGAGTAACTCGTGATACTAATCCAATGCATACATAATAAAATTTCTACTGCCCAATTTTGTGAAAACTCTGATTTTTAAGAAAACTGTTTTTGAAACATTTTTAAAGGTAAAGTTTATTAACCTCCTTCAGGACCTTTCTCATCCTATTCTCCCCCATCAAATATACCTCATAGCTGCAGTGGTGTGAACTTGAGGTCGATCAGAATATTGGTTCAAAAAGAAGAGGTCATACCCACATGCTCCCACCCTTCCCCTTAAGCTTGACTGAGGGAAAATTGTTTAAGTACACAAAAATAGTCTCACATTGCTTAGGAATCGATGCTAAGGGTATTTTATATACAAAACCCACACTTTTCAACCCAATGAGGTGTCTTTTTCAAAAGACAAAATTGTGACAGGTTCTCACACCCAAAATAGAGAATACCTCGTAGGCGCAATGACACATACTAGAAATGAATCAGAACATTATTGCTAGAAGAAGGGTCAGACCCAAATGACCGAGGTTCGCACCCTAGCCATTAGCCGCGATTGAGAAAATTCATTATGTTAAACAAATAGTCCCACATTGCTTGGGAATTAAGGTAAATGGTAGTTTATATAAAATATCCACACTCCTCAACCCAACGAGGAACTTTTTCCAAAGGATAAAACGGTGAGAAGTTCTCACATCACATCTAAAACGCACAATGCCCCGTAGTCGTAGTGGTGTGGACTTGAGATAAATTGAAACATTTGCGCTAGAATGAGGGGTGAGGCCCCCATGTTTGCACCCAACCCTTAAGCCTCGACTTAGTTGCATATGTTATATACAATAGAAGAAAGAAAGATTATGTTTAAAGTTGCTAATTTTATTTTTAATTTCAACATCAGGTTCCTTGATTATATAAAACACATGTTATAAACATAGTCAAAATAATGAAGACTACAAATTTTCAATGGTGCTCCATTGGAGACTAGATTTGGTGCAACACAAGAACAAAAACGTTGAACCAGTATAAATCATGGTCCAATCTTCTCTTTTACTATCTCCTTTAAGTTTTCTATCTAGTTTCCATGTTTTGGGTATTTACCGCTTTCTTAAAAATCGCATGTTCATAGGTTTATTTTGTTCATAGTGGTTTATCGTGTAAAGTTTATGCATGGTTATGATTAATTAATCTAAATTATATTTTTTGCGTTTAAGTTGTTTGTAACTATAATGTTAGACTGATTTAATTGATCAATAAATATCTGTTTAGACAACTCGTTTAAATTATTTTTAAGTTGATTAATACATTAATTAGTTGAGTTGTTCACAATTCTATATTTAATTATATTGTCTATACACAGATTAACTCATAATACCAATCCAATGCAGACACAATAAAATTTATACTTCCCAATTTTGTGAAAACTCTGTTTTTTAAGAAAACTATTTTTGAAACAGTTTTTAAGGGTAAATTTTATTTAACCCCCCTTATAGACCTTTCTCATCCTATTCTTCCCCATCAATTATACCTCGTAGCCACAGTGGCGTGAACTTGTGGTCGATCAGAACATTGGTGCTAAAAGAATGGGTCATACCCACATTCCCCCACCCTTCCGCTTAAGCTTGATGAGGTAAAAATTGTTTAAGTACACAAAAATAGTCTCACATTGCTTGGAAATCGATGTTAAGGGTAGTTTATGTACAAGACACACACTCTTCAACCCAATGAGGTGTCTTTTAACAGACAAAATTGGGACATGTTCTTACATCCAAAACAGTCAATACCTCGTAGGCGCAATGACACACACATGAAGTGAATCATAACATTGTCACTAGGAAGGTCAGACCCAAATGACTGCGCTCTGCACCCTACCGATTAGCCACGATCGAGGACAATTATTTTGTTCAACAAATAGTCCCACATTGCTTGAGAAACAAGACAAATGATAGTTTATATACAATATTCACACAAATCGAGGAAATAGTCCCACCTTGTTTCGAATCGAAGAAAATGGTAGTTTATATACAATAACCATACTCAATCCCGCGAAATCTTTTTTTTTTCAAAGAAAAAAATTGTAAAAGATTCTCACACCCAAAACGAACAATACCTCGCAGACGCAGTTATGCACACTTGGGCGGATTTAAACACTTTATATATGTAAGACCGTTTGAGAAAAGTTTTGAATTTATCTACCTTAGGGTCTCTTTGGATGAGTTTATTTAAGCTTATCTAATAACATACCTTTTTTTTGACATTATATGGAAGACCTTATTAAAACAATTTATGACATTTTTCATATAATTTTTAAAATTTATTTTTACAAGTTCTTCAAGATAATTTATAAAAATAACTTATAATATATAAAAAAATAATTTAAATATATTTGATCTTTTATTATAAAAAATATTTATACAAGTTAATATGTAAGCGCTTACTTTAATAAATATTTTTATAGGTATGCTGCTATGTTGACACTAAATTTTTTTACGCCGTAACTATTTGCAAACCAATTTTGCAATGACACAAAAACCAAGGAAAGAAAAAAGAATTATTAAAAAAAACAAAGGTAAGTCAAATTAAATATAAATACGGCATAATTGTAATTTTTTGGTGTAATTCTAGTCTTTCTCATATTTTTTCTATAATCTACAAAGTTTTATCAAAACAGACTAGACTATATTTTAGAAAAAAACTTATAGAATTATACATTTTAAAAATCTTAAATTGATTTGGAGATTGATTGATGTCTGCTTGTTTTAAAATGCCAAATTGAAAAGAAAAGAAAAAACCTTGGGATGAAAATCATTAGGCTTCACCTTAATTAAGTAATCACTTGATAAACTATTTCATGTTAGAAAGGGTTGAAATTAAAAGTATGAGTGACGGGAGCACACATAAAAAAACCAGCGTCACAAACATGTCACAAACTTTGGAAGCAACATTACTAACGACGCGGAAAAACCTTTGAACATTCCAACTTCTTGTTTTTGTCCCAGCCCCTTCTTATCACTTTGACTTCTTTCTCTCAAATTTAATGTCCTATTTTTTACTACTCCCAATTTAAGATCTAAATCACGTTTTGCTTTGTTAAACTATAATCATTATGGTATCAAATTAGTGTGGTGGGTCAATGAGAATCCAAGTTTGTTCCGCGGCAAGAAAAGGTCAACAAATTAGAATTTAGACCTCTCCAATATACTCTCTCACTCTATGACCAAAGACCAAAGAAAATTCATTCACTAGCCCCCATTTCTTAGTCAAACTTTTCTTTCCTTTTTCTATTTCTTTCTTTTCCCACCTCTTTTTTTCTTCATAATACATCCCTTTTATATCCCATAATCCATAAACATAACTCACCTTCATTCCCAAATCCCAACACTTTTGTTTCTTTTTTGGTTATTATCACTCTATCATGGAAGATTCAAAGAGTTTGATGCATGAGTTACTACAAGGGTTGGAGTTGGCAAGAAAGCTTAGAATTTATCTCAACGTATCTTCGTCTTCTTCTTCCTCCATTAACGAAACACTTGAAGTTCTGATACATAAAATCATATCCACGTTCGAAAAGGCACTTGAAATTGTTAACCGTAAAGGACAAGTTAATGTGGCTGAATCATCGCCGCAGCAGCAGCAACAACAACAACACCCTTCAGCCTCAGGAGCACTAGCCATGATCAGAATGTTGGACTCACCACCTTTAAGCTCTAGTCCACGAAGTGAAGACTCCGATAGAGATTTGAAGGACCGCGATCACAATACTCCTAGAAAAAGGTATGTAAATCTATCATTTTTTTTCATTTTTCATGTGTGTGATTGTTCTTACACTAACCATCATTTTTCATGTTAGAAATACTCTACCAATTAGATGGACAAAACAAATTCGAGTTACACCTGGAATAGCAGTGGAAGGTCCTCTTGATGATGGATATAGTTGGAGAAAATACGGCCAAAAAGACATCCTAGGAGCCACGCATCCTAGGTATGTATACTATGAATCACATACACATACACAGACACCAGACACTAAGAGACGGACACACATATTTCAATATGAGAAAAATTTATGTGTTTGTGTATGTGCAGAGGTTATTACAGATGCACTCACAGAAACATTCAAGGTTGTTTGGCAACAAAGCAAGTACAAAGGTCCGACGAAGATCCAACCATCTTCGAAATCACTTACCGAGGAAACCACACATGCACAATCGGAAGTACTTCCAATGTGGCTGTTCAAATTCCAACCTCGAATCCAAATGAAAATCAAGAAACAAATGTAAACACAAACCAACAACTAATGAACCTGCGAACCGGTCTAAGAGTTCAGACAGAGAACCTAGATTTCCTCGACCAACCATTTGCTCCATTAATCCATTTCTCTTCAAACCATGTACTTGAAAGTAGCTTTGCAGAAAACTTCAACTCTCCTGCAACTTCTGGAATAAGTAACTTCTCGATGTCTTCGTCTCCGAGTGTGTTCCCGAATATGGCAAGTGAGATTATTCCATCAGCTACTTCTGTTGCAAACACGCCAACCACTGATTTAGATTTTCCGTTTCAGCAATTTCAATTTGATGGAGAGAACTTCACATTCGATAACTCGCAATTTTTCCCTTGAACTATATGGGAAGAAACTGATCAGTAGCTTAATAACAAAAAATTTATTAGAACTATATGTCCAAGTTTCATGGAGTTTTACTTAATCGTTATAGAAAGGTCCAAGTTTCATATAGGTTTTTTTCTTCTTTTTTTTTACATTTTCGTGTCCTCATTTTCCTTTTATTTTTGTGGATTTTAAAAAACAGAGTTTAACTTGACTAATAAAGAGGTAGTGCTTCCACGATGTAAACTAAAGTATGTGTTGAAATGGTTCATTTTATTCAAATTTGTAAGGAAGGGTGCAGAAAGAATACATCTCATTGTATTACTCCTAGTTTGCAATTCATAATAAATATTCGAAATTCATGGCCAACAAAGCAGCTTAATATATTGATATTTTTAGTACAAATTGTGTGGACAAAAAAGATGGAGTAACAAGCAAGCGATTTTGTATATGATTATTTGTCCTGGAGTCAGCCAAGCATAAGCACATTCCCTCATCCACACGGCAGATAGATGGGTCTTCACAAGCAACATATAAAGTTTGGACGGAGACAAGATCCATGACAACAATGAGAATTTTGTAGGCTCAATCGTGGTTCCATAATTTTGATGTCTTTAATTAATTAATAATTCTTTCACATTAAAATAATGTATTTTACTAGTAATTATTTATTCTTTCATCAAAATAGTTAAAGTCATTAAAGTTATGGAATATTAGTTATTTTTTTTATTGTAATAATTTCTTTAAAATTCGAGTATTTTTCATCTTATTTTCTTATTAACTTGAATGTCGGTGTATTAGTAGGTATTTTTGAAGACTCTAACCTAAAACATTAAGCGACTTGCATGCATTTCTTTAGAACCACTTTAACTGAATTCCTCCAAATTTATTAGTTGTTTTGTTAAGTTAACTCAGTTAGTTGTTGTGCATAGATATTAAAAATATGGTGTAGATTCGAACTCACATAATCTCACTTGTTCACCTTTAAAAGGTCAATTTCATTTGAACAAAAAAACTAGGTTCATTTATTGAATTAACATTGTTTGAGGTAGAGGTATGAGCTATTCTCTCCCTAGAAAAAAATCAAAACTATTTTCAATAGCTCCCACGAAAAACATAGCAACATACAACACCATCCAAGTTAATAGTGAAATCGCTACTCCATTACCAAAACCAACAATTCAACCTCTGGATGACATTCTAGTCATAACGATTAACGAAACTCTAGCCTATGTAGATAAAAGCAAAATGGTCCACGCAAGATCAGATGGCGCTGGTTTAAGACCAAACACAAATGAAAAACATACATAATTTCTTAACTGTTCTGCCAACCTTAAACCCACAAAGATCTCGAGATTTTGTCTCCCTTACCACTAGAGGAGAAACCAAACGCTACAAGGAGAATGTTCCCTGAGATACAGAAGACAAAATGACAATAAAAGGCATTAGCTCGACATTGTATCTAAAAATTGCAAATACTTGCCTTTAGGGCATTTCACTAACCAAATTAGGAGATTTCTGATCATCGAGTCTCTCAAGAAACAACCTAGGTTGATTTGTATGAAGCCACAACCAATCCTGACAAGTATGATAAAAATATAAAAGTAGTACTTAACTACTGAGGTGCTGAAAGCTCAATGAAGTTCATCATATTCGCTCTAATCCTCAAGAGGGTGTGAGGATATGGTTTAAAAGTCAGTGACTCAAATTTACTTTGTCTTGGGAAGAGTTGTGTAAAAAGTTTACTTCCAACTTCACAACACCTCGCTGACACCTAAAACATAGGAAGCTTGTTCGCTAAAGAAATAAGTATTTAACACACCACTTGAATTAAATTATCTGTGTAATTTTGTTCCACGGAGGACATATGTTGAGACCACATGTCAAAATTCTTAAACCATTTTAAAAACAGTTTAACAATAATAATTAATCAACGCAAAAAGTTGTTAAATAACACAAGAGATTGGTAACCCAGTTCGGTGAAACCACAACTACGTTTGGGGGGCACTATACACATGAAATAAAATTCACTACTTCGAATTAAAATAATTAGTCTTACAATAACATTTAACCCTTATGAAGTTCTATGTCTCTTCCCAATCCTTGTGACTTTTTATTTAGGTCTCCCTCTAAATATGAGAACCCATTCACTTTTTTTTATCATTAAACCCTAGTGATCAACCTCAATAACAAGTATATTGTTTGTTGAATTTATAACTCAACTAAAGATCACCAACTACGCCAAGTTACTGAAACACAGTGGTCTACAACAAAGATTCAAATCAAATCCAATTATGGAATTACAAAATCTCTATTTATAACAATCCATTATTGATTTTTCTCATTTGGATAATGGTTTGATTTCTTCCAAAAAAGTGGAGCTTTTGTTGAGATTTGTTGCTCCAAATCAACTCCACAAAATATGATATAATTTGAATTCAAATTTAAATCACATTGATATAAATTTAACTAATTAAAATAATCAAACAAATCGAATTGATAAAATACAACAATAATATTTGTTGCACACATCACCAAAATGCATTTCATGTAATTGAAAAACACGCGCACAAAGCAACATCCTTGTTCTCTAGACAAGGGACAAATGTTGCACACATGCTGGTACATCGGTTCCCACATGTGTCCTTTCTACACCAAAAACAACTTGAACATACTCCATTTTGTTTTGCATAATGCAGTAAATCTAAAAGGAACAACAATCTCCCTCTTTGGCAAAATTTGGCAAAACAACTGTTCAAGCATAAATACAATTAGGTATTAAGGGACTTCCATACTCAAAACAAACATCAGCAGCATCAGAAGAATACCTATCAAATCATACATCAACAATAACATAAGTTAGTAGCAAAGACAGAAAATCCTAAGGTAGTTACACACATATGAGTTTGCAGGTCAGAGGTCATGAGGTAGTTACACACACATGAGTCATGAGGTAGTTACACACACATGAAAATGCTATACACAAAGATCCAAAAACAATAAATATGCAATCATTCAAGATGGGTTATTCATGCATGTAAACACAATTAGTAGTCAGTAGTTTAAGGATCAAAAGCTACTACTAACACACTGAGAAATCAAGATACGCAATCACAATGTTGAGGGCTAGATGTCAGGCCATTTGCTTTAACATGTGTGCACACAAAAATCAGATCAGGTTGGTATCATACACCAGTTAGTCCTAATCACACATGTTAGTACTAGATAGTACAAAGTGTTGCATCGCTGCGAAGAGGGGCCGACAAGGACAGAAGAGTCGCCACCGTTAGTTATTTATCCCAAAAGAGGGAAAGGAAACAATTAGAGAAAACCTACGAAAAAGGGAAAAGACAGGTCATCACAACCATATCTCGGGTTCGACAGTCGGTTACGCAAGGGGAAGGTATTAGCACCCCTCACGTCCGTCGTACTCGACGGGATCCACGCTTGTTATCTATCTAAAGGGTGTTGAACTATCTAAACTACAGGCCACAGGGACAAAAGAAAAGAAAAGAGACTCGAGAGAGCATCGCCGCCCTATGCCTACGTACTCCCTCGTGCAATGGGAAAGTCAGAGTCAAATTAGTTCGGAAAACTACGGGTGAAGGTGGGGAAAGTTGCTCGCCAAGACATCGCCGCCTTGTGCCTACGTATCCTCGTCTGGTACGAGAGATCAGAGCAAACGTAGTTTGGGCTAACTAGACCACAAGTTGGTTCAAGTGTTTTACCTGAGTAGGTTTAAAACTTAGTTCTAGCAGTTAGGTGTATGCAACTCGACCATTAGAGACTTAGGCCTAATTCAAGTTTTCTTCATCTAACTTTGTTTCAAATTATATGTTCAAGTGGAATCCAAATTTGCTAGACATAAGTCAAGATCACAAGTTCATAATTCAAGACTTCATTCATTTTCAATGGCATAAGGGAGACCCATCATTTCAAATTCAAGATTAGATTCAAGAATATTACAAAGAAAAATTTCATGACATTGCAAGAATGTCACATTTGTTACAAAGTTTCTAACCCTAAGTAATGCTTAGAAAATTAAGTCATTTCTAATCTTAATTCAAGTTTCTAATTAATTTTATGCTATGATACCCTTCATGCCCCATCAAGTCCACATGTTCCTCATTATGCTCACAAACATCCAAGGAAAATATTTAAGAGTTAACTCAACATTGGAATATTTCAAGATCAGGACTATGCATGCATAATCATGGGCAATGTTAATGTGATCCAAAACAGTCCCATGCAAAAAAGTGACAAATTGCCTCATATCACAAAACTATTTCATGTCACAAAACCAAGGGAATGAACTCATGGTGATACATCTACACATCAAATATCAGAATTTCAAAAAATGATGTAAAAGGTAGTAACATTGACCACAGGGGCAGTCCAAGCACAAGCCAACAAATGAGTACAAGATTTGAGAGCAAAAAGTGCAGCAGAAAAAAAACAGCCTAGGCAAGTGTAGCAGCAAAATACAACAAGGCAGCATACATGAAAATGGAAAGAAAGAGAGTGGCATGGAGAAAGTGGTAAGGGACATTTCTCCATGAAAAAATTTAATGTTTTGAAAGAAGGGAAAACCCTAATGGGCTGAGTTTAAAAGAAGAGGGAGCAGCTGCAAACAAAGGAAGAGGCACATGTAGAGAGAAGATAGAGAGCAAAAATATAGAGAGAAAAACCAGAAAATCAAGAGAGTTAAAAAACACAAGAGAACTATAAAAAACCAGAAAAATAAGAGAGAAAGAGAAACATTGAGAAACATTGAGAAACCTTGATAGAACAAAGGAGGGATGTAAAACCAGAAAAAAAGAGGTGAATCATAGAGCACATCCAACACAAACCATTGGTGATTAAAAGGAGAATAGAAGCTTTTGGGTATATTTTCTTTCAAACCTTTCTCTTTTTAGATACTTTGCATTGTCTTTATTTTTTGGGTTAAGTGATATTTGTGTTGAACATATTGTGGTAAGGTCTCAAGAGTGACCAAGAACTATTATAAAAAACAA